ATGCCCCCTGAATTTGACCGTAATTTGATGTTTTGCTATTGATCTAGAATCTAGATTTAGGTTTGATAGACTATCTCTCCATATCGGCACAGGCAGAAAAAAGTAATCGTTTAAAACCAGAAGTAATCGTCGGTGGGGTAAAAACTAGATTAGTATCCCCAAACGGGACCCAGATTCTTCAGTAGTACCAAGATGGCTCGTTAGCGTGTGTCGGGGTCGGATGGGCGGCCTGCACACGTGTGGCTGTGTGCGTGGCGGGGGGGGGGGGCACTATTGGTCCGGGTGTTGAACGTCGCATACGTGTCAGTCTTTTTTCCCCGGCAACAGATCTTTATTACAATAATATATAAGCTAGTCTTGACGTAGATCTACGTAATGAATTGTGCGCTGGTCTATGGAATCAAAAGTTACCGTATGCTCAGCTCAACACAGCAACACAACTTTTTCTTGGTAAACAATCGAGATGACACAGGCTTGTGTATTTGAACGAATCTGTCTTTTTTTTAAAAACACAGCTCATAATATGCAGGTGCCAGGTGGTCTGCTTATCTTCAATTTTACCTTTTTCTACAACAAAGAAAGTGGAAAACATGGGGGGGGGGGGGGGGGCTTATCAATGAGACGGCGAGCATCGGATCGGCAGAAAAGGTGTGGGGGAAACTAAAAAATGGCGGAATATTTGAAGCACTGAACGTTAGATCTATAGAACGAAGACACTTCCTTTTTTCCGGACCCGAATCCGAATAACATTTTCATATTCGGACTCGAGTTCGAATAAGAATTTTTTTAATTCGGACTCGAGTCGGAATATGAAAAAATGTTATTCGGACTCGACAACGGCCTTCTCTTTTACCCCAGGGGGGCAGGCCCCCCAGTCCAGGAACCCCCGATTGGTCCAAAGCACGTCAATCTTCTCGATTAAGAACAATCAAATGTTTCAAAAACAATAAATTTGCGACGGAAATGAAAATTGATATATATATATTCGTGTTCAGCGCATCAATATTTAGTAGAAAATGGACAACTGGTAGCAAAGTGTGAGACGGGAGGGAAAGTAAAAAAATTCCTAAACATGGGGGGTTTCAGAGGGGTATGCCCTCCTGAATTTGACCATAATTTGTGGTTTTGCAATTAGGCTTGATAAGCGGAGCACAAAGAGAAAGCTTGCTCGCGATAAAAGCGAGCGCGTTGGGACGCGCGTGAAATGTTACTCAAAAGTTGCTTGTTGCGCACAAAAAGCACGCTCGCTTTATGGCGCCTGAGATTTCAAGCGATGCTTAACTCACTTGCGACTGGGCCCTTTCACCAGTCACAAGCGTTGAAGACTGGCGTTTTTGGGGGTATTTCAATAAATCACCTCAACTCTCAGACTTACCCTATTGTAATTATTTTTTGACACAGTAAAGTAATATTCAAGCTTAATCTAATACAAAAAACTTAAGTTGTTTAAGTCTAATACTTTAATTTGTATGATTTTTTAAAAATTGGCATGAATTTGATTTTCCGAAAAATTTCCAGAGACGTGACAAGTAGAATGAAATTCACTGCAACAACAAAAATAAAAGTTCAAAGTGTTCTGGTTTGATTTGTATACATGTGCGAGTGTTTGGTGAAAATATAAAAGCTGGTCTGTGCATTGATTCAGACCCATACACTGAATTACATGAGACAGATGTACGGCACGACGTTGTGATTTTGTTGCGCGAAAAACAACACCGGTACTAGTGCTAGATCTAGCCTTAGAACTACGACTCGGGCCGTGTTGGGGTACATATCCAGGATCCTAACAATTAGATA